AGAAAATGATCCAATCTTCCTTAGTCTTCAATGTTGGCCATTGACTTTTACAAAACTCTTCAATTGGTGCCTTATTTAAAAGATATGGTTTCAAAAATGCACTTTTCCCACACTTGAAATGACTTCTAACCCATGCGTATAACAAAGATGCATATCCTATGAATCGTCTTTTTCTATTTTATCGACAGAAATTTAATGACCTGATGGTTTTGGTTAAGACTGCTGGAGCGAGATTAATTGCTTGAGTTTTAATTTGCTTGAAAAAATCTATCACAGTTATCTCAATGTAACCTAAAGTTTTTGAAAAGATTACCATGCCATACAATGCTAGAGTAAACACAGCCATACCTTGATCATCATTTAAATGCTCCTGAATGAAGTTTCAGAGAAAGTCCCAATGAATACCGAGATGTTCACCTTTAGACTTTACGAAGGAATCAATGGTTTCTACTTTAACCCTCATAAGCTTAGCTAACTTTTTACGATAACTTGATTTTGGCTTTCGGGTAAATACTTTATCTGGACATTGTAGTTCTATCTCGAGTAAAATTGAATACTCCTCGATAGTTGGTACCAAATTTTCCTGATTAAAAGTGAAGCATCTATAGGATGGATCCTAAAACTGTATAGTTGTTTTGACTAGCTGTTCATCGATCACTACTGAAATGAGAGATACAATCTGCTCATACTTTTTGTAAAAGCTTTTTTTCTTTCTTCATTTAACTGACCCTAGATAGTAGCTAACTCTTCTAAATCATTTTGTGTGAGATCTAAATGCACTTTTTCGGGTAATTCAGACACATAACCGGTAGGCAAACAATCTTTATTTTTTTGTTAAGCTTCTTTCGACCAAACATGTATTTCATTATACGACTTACATGACGCACTAACTGAGGATGAGCAAATCTGTAGTTCTATGAGATCCATGAAAACTTCTTAGGAGAAATATGTCCTAGAGCAAATATCTCGATGCAAAACTGTATGATATGATTAATGCAAAAAGAAAAAAAAAGAAACAAAATTAAGTTAGTGTGAGGATGTGGTTTAAGAAAAACATATTTTTTTATTCTTTTTAGTGTTTTTTTTAATGTTTTGAGATTTTTTGTTTGTTTTGTTTCGTTTCGTATTATACATAACTTTTATTCTTAGGTATTTTTTACAAGAAGATGGATAAGGCTCTACATAAGGCTGATTTCTTAGGCTTATTATATGCTAGGTTTGGATTAACAATGTCTAAAGGTTCCCAAATTATTCCTCATTATCATCCACATTAGACTAGTAAGGCACCATAATCCTCAGCCATTACAGGCTACGAACAGAAAGGGTTCAATTCAAGTGAAAGTATTTCGCTTGTCATTGCAGATGTTATCACTTCACGAGAGCATAGGTACTTTACTTCCTCCTATAAAGGACAGAGCCTGGGTTTAGAGCTCATGCATGAGATGCATCGTGCCATTGAATGCAAATATATCTTAATTTATTGAGAGTAATATATACAAAAAAATAAAACATAAGAAGCATAGTAAAAAAAATGTGTGTGAATTTTTTTACTTTTTATTTTTGATTTGTTTTATTTTTTTGATTTTTACCTTTTTACCTTTTTTATTGAAAATGAAAAATAAAAATCAAAGAAATTGATTAAGACTATTTAAATCAAAATTTGAGGATAACAAGTAGTTAATTTTGACCTGACTCTCGAAAACAAAAGGCATTCCCAGTGGAGTCGTCAAGCTGTTGTAACAGTTTTGTGTCCGCTCGACAAATTTGTAAATGAAATAAAACATAACGGAGTCACCACCAATCTTTTTTTGGCTAGGTGTGATTGGCCACTTACTAAAACATATCCTTTTAATAAAGTTTTAAAATTAATTAAAATTTATTAAAAAGATAATTTTACGGTCTACGAAACAGTGTGGGTTCTGGAGTTGGTTATACGTGGGGAATGATTAGCACCCCCATAGCGCCCGTTAAAAATGGTACCAATTAACAACATGTTATCCTTTGATTTTGATAAAAATAGTCCAAATTTCGGTGTTCGAAAAATAATTTCCTTGATTTTTTATTTATTAGAAAAAAAATTATTCTCGAAAAAAATAAATTAAAACCTTTTTATTGAAATAATTCTTAAAATGTTTCAGTACATTGGTAACATTAGAAGAATTTTTTTTCACCTAAAAATTTCTTAGGCATCGCTTCTCGGAATACCTTAGAATCTCATCCTTGGAGGTTCAAATTTACTTTTCGTAAAAAAGGTCATGCATGCAATGCAAAATGTTACCATGTTGATGCACACATTTTATTCTCCTTTGTTAGAAATTTTATTAATTATTTTACTAATATTTATTTTTTAATTAAAATTTTGAAGAAAAAGAATTTAATTATATTGAAGATTTTCTATAAATATTCCAATATACTGGTAATATTTTACAAAAAAATTTTCTCATCTAGGGATTTCTTAAAGCATCTCCACTCGAAATATTTGTAGAATCTCATCATCGGATAAAATTTCTTTTCTTCTCATTTTTATTACTTATATTTTTAATATATTAATCAATTTTTATTTATTACTTTAAAAAAAAATTTACTGTATTAAAATTTTTTATAAATACTCCAATATACTGGTAGTATTTTAAAAAAAATCTTCTCACCTAGAGATTTCGTAAGCATCACTACTCGAAATACTTTGAATTTCATTGTCGGATAAAAAATTTTTTTTCCTATATTTTTTATTAGTTTAGTATTATTATAAAATTTATTTTTATATTATTTTATTTTTAAAGTTTATTTTAAAAATTAACAAAATTATAAAAAATTTAACCACATATTTCATCATTTAATTTAACAAATATAAATATTTTAATATGCATAAATATTAATAAAATAATATATAAAAAATAAGAAAAATTTTAAAAAAAATTTTTTACCTGAACTGGATCGGTCAACGGTCCGGTTAACGCGTGGTTCGGTTCGGTGGTTCGGTCCGACGATTCGGGTGCGATTTGGCTCAGTCTGGGCACGGTCTGGTTGGTTCAGTGGTTCAGTACCGATTCGGTTTGGGTTCAACAGTTCGGTTCCAGTCCAGTCAAACTGATCAAAGATTGATGAAGAAACGGGTCGTGGGTCAGATCACCGGTTGACGCGCAGATCATGGGTGCTTAAAACGACGTCGTTTTGGGCGTTTATTGAAGCGACGTCGTTTTGGTTTTCACCATTTACATAAAAGGTTCAAAATTTTTTTCAGCCATTCTCCTTCCTTCTCCAGAAAAAAATGCCTGTTTTTCTCTTCTTTTTTCTTTTTTCAGTCGACCTAGGACGGCCGTTGTCGACGGTGCTGAAAAATTCTAACAAATACCCACAAACTCTTTTGACCTCCTGAACACAGATCCGATCTCTTTTTCATCAAAAAGAGTCCCCACTTTCCTAGATCTGCTTTCAAAGTTTTGGTGAGACTATTTTTCATTTGTATTATGACTCTTTTTTTTTTAAACTGACCTTTTTTTTTCTTTATGCAGGAAGCTCTTGGCGCTGGATTCCTCTCTACGAGGAGGACTGTGTTTTCTTTTTTTAGTTTTTACAGTGTTTTTTTTCTTTTTTTTTTTGCAACATCTCTTTCTCTGTTTGTGTCTTTTTTGGTTTAGCTAGGAGCTCTATTTATAGAGCTTCAACCGTGCGTGTGCTTGAGGGAAGGGCACAGGGCTCGGTATGGGATGTAAGCACAAGCCTCATGCCTCTTTTATTTTTTTTGGGCAACATCTGGCAGTGGTAGGGTTAGGTGATCAGAGAGGTGAGAGGTAGGACATGGTGAGGAATGGGTGGTAGAGTATGGTGACAGTGGTGCCGGAATAGATAGCATCGCTATCTCTCTTTTTTTTTTGTTTTTTTTTATTTTTTTTGATATTTTATATTATTTGATATATTTTTTGTATTTTATATTTTATATTTTATATTTAATAATAATAATATTATTATTTTTTGGGACAAATTTGATGTCCACACAATTAATTAATTAAGGTATTAGGGGTCTAAAACCAAGAAGGTATACCCTGGCCCTCCAAGTGAACTTCACCTCCATATTTTTGGAATCAGCCATGCAACATTAATGGTCTCGGAACCTTTGACGAAAAACTTGTCAAAGGCAAATAATTATGTGGAACTGTTGGTAGCTATCACAATCGAAGTTGACCAGTAGAGGTTAATAATTAATATCCGTGAAGAAAATGAGTGTCGGATGATGAAGACATGTCTGCCGACTATAAACAAGCGTCAAATTAAGGAAAAAAAATTTTTTAATTCATTCTCTTTCTTTTTCAAATACGTAGTTATGACTAACTATATATGTTGGCTTTTAATTCAACATGCCGAACTTTTACAGCTTTTGTCATGAGAATCAAACATATCACAGTGATTTTTCATGTAGTTGAATTTGTTATTCTGCTTGTGTAATGTAACAAGTATACACAAAATAATATTGTTTTTATCAACATCCTTAAAAAAATTCCTGATTTGGTTGGGGTTTTGCCAAAAAATTTGAGATGGGAAAATGACCTTTAACATTTTATTTTAATGCGTTGTTTTTAAAAATGGGCAGAGCACTGAAAGTTTCAAGGTTGAGTATTTAATTAAATTGTTAATCCAAGAATAGAAAATTAGTCAACTCAAATTTAATATGCTAAAATTTCACTTAGACAATTATTCAAAAAAAAAAAAAAAGTCATTCCATCATTTTCTACAATCATTCAAATAAAAAATAAAAAATATATCTTTATTTGAAGTTGTAAAATGCATTGTGTTATGACTTTCTATATAGATGACATTTCGGTCAATAACCTGTAAATTGTAATTTTTGCTAAACAATATGTGAGTTAATATATATTTATAATAAAGTCATTTAACTTGTCCTTTGTTTCTTGTCTATAAAAAAATCTGATCTCTAACTATTTTATGAGATTTTTTTTGTTCTTGAGTGACAACGATTTATAGACAAGGGAGTAAATTGAATTCCAAAAAAAATTAAGGAAATTAGGAATTATTATTGATGAAACACTTACAATCCAAAGCAAATGATAAAAATCCCATATATTACTTCTCATTTGTTATCCAATTTGGGACTTATTAAAGCTAATAAAATTTGAATAAAGAACCATAAAGTTGAACTATTTGTGCTCCAAGAGCTTATTGACGTATTCTCTAGCAGCAATTAGGGAAAATCACTAATCCTTAACACCATTTTGATGTTCTTCATGAGCTTTCCCTAGGGGTGACCTAGATTGCCGACGATGCCTCTCTTGGGACAGTAATGTTGCAAACCTATAAGATCAAAATTTCGCCAAGTAAATACCAAATGATTAATTTATGCAAATTTGGCACAAGAAATTGCAAAAGTTTTTACTCTACCTTTTAAGAGCTTCTTCATTAGTTTCTTGAGTGAAAGGCTCAAAGATACCGGTTGCCAAATTAACTCTAGAAACTGGCTTCTTTAACAGTCCTTCACCAACTTTCACCAGTTCATCCAAATTCTTCTTAGTCGCTACATCGACGGAAGATACATCCCCACTTAATGTGTCATCCTGGTTACGATTTTCAATGATGTTAAAAATGGCAGATTAAAGTTAAGAAACATTTTCTATTGGGAGCTTAGGCTAAGTGCAAATGCATGGATTGTACCTCAATACGGAGGTATTTGTCAGAGTGAAGGGCTTCAAATACTACAGAAAGATGGAGGTCGACCATGTCTCCACTGGCCTGAGTAAATACATCAACTAAGGGGGTGGAACCGCCGCTGGTTAACCAACCTAACAAACCCCATTCCGCTGCCTGTTTTGCACTATATTTCTCTTCAGCTTTTCGAGAGCCAGTCCCCAAAGAGATAACCAGAAATCTTCCATAGTCCATGGGCTTAATTGGAAAGAAATCAGCGTTTCCCTTAATGATCGCCTTCGTCACTTCGCCCATTGCGACTAAAGTCTGAAGGGCCAAATTAAAATACACATATATTTAACTATAACTGCAATAGCTAAAAGAAATTATTACTAATTAATTCAGTATCTTTTGAGATTTACATACCGGGTTATTTGCAGCCACACCACCGTCTATGAGGTTATATTCTCTCACTTTCCCATTCTTATCTTCGGTTTTGAAGTAACGGGCAGGGAGATAGGTTGGTGCAGCTGAGGTTCCAATGCATATGTCCGATAGTAAGGCATCTAAAGTAGGTTCACTCTTCTCCTGGTTGAAACACAACATCATAAGAACTATTTCATATTAATTTGACATGATAAGGCAAAGGTTCATGAGGTAAGTTTTGAAGAGAATAAGAACCTGATAGCTCGAAAAGATGGTTGGCTGGAGATGCTTGATGTCAAATGTTGGGATAACAACGTTAGTTAATGTCTGGTGCAATTTTGTATCTCCTAGTTTTTCTTTAACAAGGCTATGTAGAAACTTCCCATCATATTTTGGCCCGGATAGAGCTTTGATAACTTTCGTTGTTTGAGCAAACAATGGACATCTGCTAGTAAAAGAAAATGTCAACAATAACCATAGAATAATTTACATAATGAAGTTGGATATAGAACTAAAAGGTATACCCTGGTTGAGGGAAGATTTTAGGGCAGTTATTTAGGTAAAAGTCTTTTATATCTTTGGCAGCAAACAGAGGTCGGTTCATTTCATTTGGACAAGTCAGCATGGCTGTCACCAGGCCACCTGTGCTAGTCCCTGCAATCACATCAAAATAGTCTGCGAGTCTTGCATCCTCACCATCCAGTTTCTGTATAATAGCCAAAACATCTAGAGTTAGTACGTGAAGGATCATAATTTATAAGCAAAAGGGCAATGTAATTATAGTTTCTACCTAAATTTTCTTTGTACTTATATATACATGAGTGAATATAAGCATCACGAAAATGAATAGATGAAAAGCCATCATTTTCTGGTCTATAAACCCAATGTACGTACCTGAAGTTCGGATTCAAGGAAACCAAGGATGGTCCCGGGGATGACCCCTCTTATTCCACCCCCGTCAATACTGAGGATGGTGATCAAGTCTCCATAAGCTGGAGGTTGTAAACATTTCTTTGCTCCTTCCATATATGCTATGGACAGTTGTGCAAAGTGGTATAAGTTTTATATACTAGCTAGTATACAGAGAGAGGGAAGCTTTAAGTAAATAAAGAGCTTTGGAAGTTGAGTTTTAGGACTTGTTTGTTGATCGATCAAACATACTTTGGTATTTATAGACACATTCATCTCCTCCTTAGTACTAATTGTGACAGTGAAATATGGGGAAAATTGTATCAAATTTGACCAAACTTTGTACGTTCCAGCGAATGGATCAACATCTTTGTCTCCATTTATTCAAGAAAAGGGAGCATGTGAAACATTAACAAGGCATAACGCGTGGCTTGAAGCCTTCAGAGATCATTTTGGAGAATTGTAGGTTAGACTGGCTCCCAGAGACTTGTAGGTATGAAGGAGTTAGGTGATTCATTAAAGATTTATCAATTATCTAATGGCTATGTTTCCTTTTTATTTCCTTTTATAATGGACTCTAATGAGATCTTATTGCCTGACGTCTACCTTCAATGAACTAGCATGAACCAAACAAGAAAAAACTATCAAATAAAATGTAACACTATTAGTTCATAAAAGGCGGCATCAAATCAATAAGAACAAATTATAATTTGACAAGTCAATCGGATTAATGATCGATATTATAAAAGATTTTATGTGTACCCAATGAATGCCCATGAGATATTTAAAATTTCTTGAAAGATGTATGCAGCATTCAATTATGCCACAGTATAAATTCAACATACCATGAAAATTTTGCATATATAGAGAGAATTAACGTGCAAAAAATTCACCTAATCATATTTCATGCAAAACTCATAATCATGTTTCTGTGAAGGTTCCAAACCCAAGACAACCGAATTGGTCCAAATATGGGCTATTTTTTTTTTTTTTTGGTCAGTTGCAAATACAAAAGACATATTATCTACAGCACCACATAGCTTAAACTCCTGTAACCAGGCTACAAATAGATTATCACGAGATACTCCCTTCTTGGCTAAGTAATCTGCAAAGGAGTTAGCTTCCATGAATGTATGACAAAAAGAGACATCTCCAATCACCTCTCTATATCTATCAATCTCATTAAAAAGTTTCCATTCTCTCCATTGTGTCTATGAACAGAGTTGCAGCACCCAAGAAATCACCACTTTAGAATCAGATTGTATTACTAGATGTTGTTTCCTAGAATAAATGGATGTTTCCAAACATGGGATAATTAGAAGAAATAATTATCTTTAATTGATCTACTTCTCGAAGGTAACCGTGACAGTCATCTATGTTAACGTCTGATTCTTGGATGATAAGTGGCGTATGAAGATCGAAGAGAACAATGATATAAAAAAAACTATACAACTTTTTGACTCCCTAGCTATCTCTATAATTTACTGGAACTGGTCCAAGCCTCCAGGAACTTTATAATATTTTACCCATTGTATGAAGAAGTTGAAAAGTTATATCGGTAAAGCTAGCATCCAGAAAAACAAATGATCACGTTTTTACTCATGTGCAGGAGCCGCCTTGGTTGTTAATTTATCCAAGTGTGTGTGTGTGTGTGTGTATATATATATATATATAGGTAAAGACCAATAAAAGACTAAAAAAGAAAAAAACACTAAAAGGCAAAAGCCCACCAAGCTCCAAGACCAATTTGTAGATGTAATTAATATGCTATATAAAACTAGAAGCATTCATAAAAAAAAAAAAAGTTTGAGAAGCAATATTTGTGGAACATAATTAAATTTGATATACCTGAAGTTGGGACTCAAGAAAACTAAGGATGGTGCCAGGTATAACTCCTCTTATTCCACCACCATCAATGCTGAGGATGGTGATTAAGTCTCCATGAATTGGAGGTCGTAAAGCTGCATAATTTGCTCCTTCCATATTGGGAAAGACTTGTATATATTGTTGTAAAACAAGGAGGGAAAGAAGACTTGATTACAGTAATTGGAGATATATAAATATAAATATAATATATATATATTATACAAAAGAAACTAGGGAGAGAATATCTAGGAGAATAAAAATCTCAAAATCTTATCTACTAAAGTCTCCTAAAAGGAAATAGTATAAGTAATTATTGCAAAAATTTATAATCAATGTATTATTTTCTTTTAAATTTAATGAAAACAGTACATTAAAAACAAAATCTTTCTTAAAATGTATTTTAATTATCTTTAACCGAATCAGATCCATTAATTGGAATGATAACAGTGTCTAGTCACTAGTTAAAGTAATATTTATCAAAATAAAATTGTAATTAATGTATTAATTTTTTTTAATTTGATACAAAATATATTAAATGTAAAAAAAAACATTTTTAAAATAATATTTTGACTACCTCTAATCAATATTTATAGACATGCCATTAACCAAATCCTAATATATAATGTTTATTTAATGAGATAGTGGCCTCTATGGGTTAATGAGAGGAATAGAAAGCTACTACTGGTATAGTGTTGATTGGGTCAAGTGCTAGAAGCATTAAGGCATGGAGGTCTGGTTGATTGACTTTTTCCTGCAATTTTCACGTGGCTTTATTACAATGGTTCTTATGCATCTTGAATAATTCTTTCTCAATAATGATTAATTGAAGAAGAATTATTATCTGGAGAGTACCCTTCATGCATGAACATGTTTGACGCATGGTAATAATTGTAACTTGGAAGGACCGACTATATTGCCAATGTTGTTAAATTATTTTATTTCATTTGGTTTTGATCATGATTAGTGAAAGAATTAAATAGGAGAAACACTCTTACTTTCAAACTTGAATCTTTACAATTACAAGCTCTATCTGCTGAATCAAGTGAATAAAGGATAACAAATTAAAAAAAAAAAAAAAAACGATTGTAAATGTAGAAATTTGCATTTAAATTTATTATATGCTACAATTTAAACATGATTACAAAAACAAACCAATTGAGCTAAGTGACGTTGTTTTATTCTTTTTCTACTAACATAGCTTTGGGCAAACTTATTTGTGCACTTAGCCTTAATTTCCTTACTTAAGATATAGAGACAAGAAATAATTGAATTACAAGCCATTGTTTGTTTTTGGCGATCTTGTTTCTCGCAGTCTTCTTTCCTCGGAAAGTAGTTTTGCAAATCTGCAATTGAGAGGGCAAAGAGTAATCTCGAGTCATTTTACAAAAAAAAAAAAATAATTAATACAGATGGTTTTTTTTTTTTTTTTTTGCCTACTTTTTTAGAGCTTCCGCATTAGTGCCACCATTTTCAATAGGTTCAGATAAACCATTCCCCAGATTCACCCTGGAAACCGGTTTATGCAATAGCATCTCTCCAATCTGTTGAACTTTGTCCAAGTTTGCCTGTGTAGCAACGTCCACTGAAAAATCCTTTCCCTCTAATGTATCATCCTGCTTTAGTTTAGTATAAGTAAACAGGAAGAGAAAGTAAAAAACAAAGAAAAAGGCAAAAACTATTAGTACTTAATTTAATTAAGTAAAGATAATGAAGCTAGCTAGCCTGCCTGAATTCTGAGGTACTTTTCCTCGGAATGAAGGGCCTGGAAAAGCACGGAAATGTGGAAGTCAACCATGTCTGCACTTCCTTGACTGAACGCATCTACTAGTGGAACTGAGCCACCATGAAGTAGCCAACCCAAAATGCCCCATCTGGCTGCCATTTTAGCATTGTATTTGTGCTCTATCTTATTTGAGCCAGTGCCTATTGAGATCACCAGAAAGCGGCCATAGTCCATTGGCTTGATTGGGAAGAAGTCAGGATTTTCATCGAAGATTTGCTTAGTTACTTGGGTTACTGCTACTAATGTCTGAAATGCGGTCCGAGATTATAATGACCAAAAACGAAGTTAATAATTAGCATGAACCATGAGGGTTTGCTTATATAATTGTCGAAATCTCATCTGAAACTAGTTAAGTATCGAATTTCTATACTGGATTATTTGCAGCAACGCCACCATCAATAAGGTGGAATTCTCGAACGTTCCCTTCATGATCCTGGTTCTTGAAGTAATGAGCCGGCAGGTAAGTTGGAGCTGCCGATGTGCTGATGCATATGTCAGAGAGGTGAACATCCAAGCAAGGAGACCTTTTCACCTGCACTACGTTCTAAAATCTCACTTATATATTATAAAGTCTGTAATTGTAACATTGGATATACAATTATTAAAGTACTTTGTAGCCTATGCATTTGTACGTTATATCTGTCTAATAGTGATTACTGATTACTTAAGAAGAATCGAACCCCAGAAAACGCCTACATTGAATATGGTTTTAACAAACTAGAGAATTCTGAGAGATATATAGGTGGAGAGAGACCTCATAAGATGAGAAAACAACTGGCTGCAAATATTTGATATCAAAACTTGGAATGACAATATGGGCCAATGCATCATGCAACCGACTCTGTCCTAGTTTCTCCCTTATCAACCACTGAAGATACTTCCCGTCATACTTAGGTCCCGCTAATGATTTCATCAGTTTTCTAATCGCCCCGCACATTCTCCTGCCATCAAGCAACAAAATTGGTTTATAATTGGTTGAAGAAACATAGCTCAATTGCATACATATCAATGAGGGAAGAACATTATTCCACATGCTCAACGTATAACCTCTTTTGTGGGAAAATTTTTGGGCAGTGCTCAAGATAGAAGGCCTTTATATCCTTGGCGGTAAAGAGAGGACGACCGTCTTCATTTGGAGCTGTTAACATGGCTGTTATAAGACCACCAGTACTCGTCCCTGCAACCACATCAAAGTAGTCTGCAAGTCTTGCATCCTCGCCATCCAGCACCTGCAGGTGCAGCCCAAAATTTGTAAGACTTACCAATTAATTATCCAATTGAGCTAACGTTCAGTTGGCTAAGTATCATACTGTTTGAAACAATCCTAGAAAGTGTACAATTGCTTGACTGTATGTATATCTGCAAACATGCATTAATTGATATAGAAACACAAAGAATACCTGAAGTTGAGATTCGAGGAAGGATAGGATGGTGGCTGGTATGATACCTCTAACACCACCCCCATCAACACTAAGTATGGTAATCAGATTCCCATAAGTTGGGGGGCGCATTTGAGGAATGGACGATGGGATTCTCTCCATTAGAGATGATCAAAGAGCCAAATGGTTGTGATAATACAGGAAGCTTTTGTTTCTATTGTCACATTAATTTCCTTATTTAACAACTAATATTTATAGTCTCTAATTAGCAAAGGAAAACAACTTAAAACTTCCTTTTCAAGCGCAATAATTAATTTGAGGTCTGTGATGTGTTCAAACTTCAAAAAGATAATAAAAGTCGCGGGAACATGCACTGGTCAGAGGGTGCAAGGTGGTATCAGATTGTGTTTATCAAGCCAAACTCAAAGCTATGTCTTGATCACTTGAGTACATAGGAATTTTCTTGCGTGAGAATTGGTCTATCCATAATGTCCATGCATGGCAAATTCACCAAGTAATTTTGTGTTCAACGTGCTTCAAATCGTCATTAAGGTCATTGACATTTGCAGCTGATATTCGAACCCTAATGCACCTCCATCAACAGGTGCATTCATGGCAAGTTTTGCTGGCTATAGTAAAGAGTTAAACCTCCTATATATTAAAAGCTTGCCATTGCTAGGGTAGAAGATGAGATATAAATCACTCTTTAACCAAAAGTTGGGTACTTATCTAAGTTGTCTTTCTGATCCACGTCTTGGGTATTTCCGTGAAGGTACGTAACAAGATGACTGAAATTAATCATTGGAATCTAGAAGTGATGCCTACCTACGGACCATGACCCATTCAAACCAAAACGTTTGAATGTTAGACATGCATGCTAACGTATATATATTGCGTTTATGACTAGGCTCTATCGTCAGCTTAATTCGCAATGCCAAAGCTCAGTCAAACCCGCTATTGATCAGCATTAATCAAACTAATTCAAGCATTCCCATCAAAATAAAATTGTGTATAAGTCTAAAATTTATCAAGCAATTAGTCAAATCTGTCAAAATTAAAGCATCCCATCGAAAGAAGAAAAAATGTGCAGTACTTTAAAAGTTTCAATTATTAGAAGTACATACGTACAGATTATGAATTAGTATATCCATGCAATTTAAAATGTTTTACCATGTGAAAGACAATATATCTGAACTCGTTTGAAACTTAGACATTTGTTTAGCTTATTGTGACTTTCTGAAGTTGGAGACAATGACGCAGTTGCTTAGGAAATTAGCCTCAAATTAGGCACGATTCGATGCTGATGTATATATAGCAGCTGGTTAAAGTCGTTAACTGAAACTGAGCATTGCAATTCATGCAAGTCTGAGGATTGGGGATTGTTGTAAGAGGAAAACAATTGTCAAACTTTGAAGCGATTAGCGTCGTGGGGTTAATTTAAATTGTCTTCCAAACATATTAAAACTTGACCTTTGCATGCATCAATGTGACGTAAGATTGTGTTAAGAATTTTTTTTTTCTAAATTAATTTTATTCACTTCTTCTTTCTATCCATCCTTTTTAACCACTAAATTTAGACAATTAAACTAGGTAATTTAATACTCATACAACATTCATATATAATTTTACGTATTATTATCAAAAGTAGAATTTCATCAGTATAAAATATTATCGATGCATTAAATATAAAATTATTTAATTTAATATTGCTCGTTGCATTTTATTTTCTTTTGCAATTACCTTGTAAGTATATGGATTAAAAGAGTGTGAAAATTAATTTATAATTAGTAATAAGCATAAACAATTAATCTGTTGCTTCAAAATCACCATAATGTATATATACAAGTTTAATAATTTTTGGTAGTCTTCAAAAACTATTTTTAAAAGCACAAAACAGTGGATTAAGCCCATTGAAAATAGTAAATGTTACCTGTTGGATCTTTTGAGCCCACTTGTATTGGGCTAACCAACCCTTTGGCCCATCTTTCAACTCTCTCCTCCACGACCGCTTCTCTTTCTCGAAATACCCTTTTTTTTCCGGTATCCGTCACTCCTCTCCGCTCTCGTCGCTTCCGTCGCTGTCTTATCCACCAAGGAAGGCGGCGAAGGCTACGAAGGTAACTCTAACCCTAAAAGGAGCCCTCTTTACGATTCAATCTAGCAAACGGTCCATAAATCCAATGAGTCCTTCAAGAGGATCGTGCACCACGCAAAACAAGCCAGCGCCTCCGCCTCCGTTCTGTGGCAAATGCTGAGGCTTTAAGTTAAAGGCTTAAAGCCTTAATAAAAGGGAAGGTTGATGCCTTATTATTTTTCGTCCTTGCTTTACTTTTCTCAAGGTTATGGCTGAAGTTATATGTATCACTTCAACAAGGTCTACAGTTACCTTCTTTCCTTCTCTTTATTGGCCTATTCAGCCCGGAATAAAATCCGTTTTTTTTTTCAAGTTTTTTCGCTTTTTGTTTTTTTTATAAGTTTTATATTTACACATTAATAAGATATCTGCTATGATTCACCTATAAAATATATAAGATTTGTACCATGTGATTACATGTTTTACACAAAGAAATACATTGTTGTGCTTACAATTTGCATGCTTTTGACTTGATATTGTCATACTCTGACCGCTTCTTTCGCCTTCTTTTTCTCAAAATCTACAAACTCAAACGAATCCAAAATGAAAACTCTCTTTAACTGCAGCTTATATTTTTTGAAACTTTTAATGGAGTTTTTTACATGGAAACCTCAGTTTTTGCACTGCATTTTCTGAATGGTTTTCTACAGTTTCATAAATCATACTAATATAAGGGTAACATTTGAAACTCATGCACAAAGGCTCCTAAGAAATCTCCATTAATATTAACAATTGTGGTATTATTTTTCCTCATGGTTTCTGGAGTTTATATCTGCTCAATCCGATTATGGCAAATAAGCCCTCGAACAAACTCCAAATTTCTAAACATCCAACAGCAGCAATGTCAAACTCCAAACATTGAAGAATGGGAAGCTCCTCTTATACATTTTCCAAATCCTAAAACATTTAACAGGTACCAACAATTAATTTCTTTGGTTATTATCCATGCATGGTTCAATTGATTTATATGTTGTTAAAAATGAAGCTTGTTTGTGCAGGGAAGAATGTGTTTGAAATCCAGTAAGATATTTTGCCATTTCGTCAATGCAGAGATCAGGGAGTGCGTGGTTTGAGACATTGTTAAATAGTCATATAAATGTTAGCTCCAATGGAGAAATTTGTGGACGTAGGGATAGGAGAAGTAATAGTTCTTCAATTTTGGAGACATTGGATAGAGTTTATAACCTCGACTGGTTCACTAGCGCTTCCAAGAATGAATGCTTAGCTGCAATTGGGTTCAAATGGATGCTTAATCAGGTAATTCGACACAGCAGAATTTGGCTTCTAAAAAAATTTTTAGAATTTCAGATGGGAAAGTGATAGTTGCTTCTTTTTTTTTTTTTTCTTCAAGATTTCAATTTGCATATGATGCTTATTAAATATTTTCAGGGGTGTGATGCAACATCACGAAGATATTGTCAAATACTTAAAAAAAAAAAATGGGGTTTCTGCAATATTTCTATTCAGAAAGAATCTGCTTCGCAGAAAGATATCTCTGATTGCTAATATCTGTGACAAAGATGTTTAGCTGTTGAATGGAACCCACAAATCTCATGTCCATTCATCAGCCGAGGTTTCCTTCTCAGCCTCTTACTCTCACAAGCATGTCTCTACTTGCATTTGCTTACCATCTAGAAGTAGTCAATTATAATGATCAAATTGCAGGCTCAGATACTTGCAGAATACAAGCCAACTATAAATATCACGCAACTGATTCCTGATTTGAAGCGAGCCGAACAAAAAACTGCCAAGGCTCTTGAATATTTCAACACCACTCACCATATAGTTGTTTACTATGAGGATCTTGTCAAAAACCGCACGGTAAGAGTTTAAGATTTTTCTATTTCCATCATTAGCGCCTTCAAATCCAAGCTTCTTTCCAGACTCCGTTAAAAGTTTTCTCGAATACTGAAACTAAGGGAAGTTCGAGAGTTCCTCAGGTTGCCTTATAAGGAGCTCACCAGCTGTCAGATTAAGATACACACTGCGCCATTGTCAGAGCAAGTATCAAACTGGGATGATGTTCAGAAAGCAGTGAAAAAAGCATCATATGAAACCTTTCTTCATTCAGATTATAAAATATAGTTTACAGTTGTTGAATAATACAGCAACAGATTTTACATTTTTTGGTTAAAAGAATCTTCTTTTAACAACTTTGGCATCCAATAGGAATTCCTGTTATTGCACCATCTGGTTTAGGTAACAATGAAAATTCCTGCTGATTCTCATCCAACCTGTCTCCAAAACTTTGGAAACAATGATTTTACAAAGGTCCTTGGCTCCATGGCAATAGTATTTAAAATTGTCCACTTTGGTTAAAGAGCTCGCACTGAAGCCAATTAAAACATCATTTCTTCATATTTTTATCACAAATTAAACCATCTTCCCTCACAAAGACTATGATTCTTTTGAATAACTACTATAATCAAAAGCCCAAGTATGCAATATATGGCTGTGAAATGACATTTAAATGATGATAGCCATCTAAAAACCATCTTTAACGACCCCAATGCATTGACTACATCATCTGATCATATGGATGCCGCACCTCATGTCAATATGATCAGAAGGTAATCGCATTTGGTTTTAGATTTTATGGGTTGTATCGTGCGTGGCATAAAGAAGAGAAGCAAAGTTGAGATGCAGGTCAGATCCATATAGAACTACCCTTTTTTTTTAACTGATCTTTTTCCTTCATTCCTTCCTAAATGTAAGAATTACAATGATGTTACAACTACAATCAGCGACAAACTGATCCATTACTTGATACGAAATCAGGTTTTTCTGTTTGTTTAATAACAAATTGGTCAACAACCCTGACGGTATTCACTGGATCCTGCTGGCCTGCAGATGCACTCCACTTGCTAGGATATTTTCTCCGATGGCTCAACTGTCGTGGCTGCTCTTTGGCCTCCCTATCCCAATCAGGATCTAACTTCCATTCCTTGGGAACCTGCATGTCAAATGGATCAGTGATTGTCTCACCAAAGTATAGATTCAAGAGGTCGCCTAACAGAAAAAGACGTTGGACAAACAAACATTGGGC